AAAAAAAAAAAAAAAAAAAAAAAAAAAAAAAAAAAAAAAAAAAAAAAGTTAAGTACCCGTTTTCAAAAAATATATAGATAGATACAAATTACCAATACACATCATAATTAGGATTTAACAGAGTCTACAGGACTTATGCAAAAATTGAACATTATATACTGAATTTTTGTGATTTCAAAGCATTTATAAGATTTTTTATGCATTTCTCGAGATTTATGGTGCATTTTATACAGCATAGATTTTAAGTTTATTTTTTAAGATTTTTCTATGCACTCGTTTATATTGCTAATCATAACCATTTACTTCTCAGTTCTCTCATAAATACACTGCGAGTACATGACTACATAACATTCAAATAATAACTCGAAGTTATCCATAATTTTTAATCAAGCCTATAATCGCATCCAATAAAAATAAAAACCTTTCATCTTATATTATTACTTTCTATAAAAATGATATTGTACATATAAAATATACCTAAACGACTAAACATGGTTTTTGCAGGAGTTCAGACTTCGAACAATCGATATTTGTATAAGATAGACTTGATAATATTTAAATATCACGTATTCATTGAGTAATTAATAACAATATAAATTAATTCATATTATGCTAGTGAAAAATAAATATTTTAAACTTAATTTGTTGTCTATATTATAAAATGTAAGACAATATAACACGTATAATCTACTCGTATATGATTTATTGCTTAAGAAGACATCGTACCAATGTATACTGTCTCAGTCTTACTAACGCACATTATACTTAATTAACATTTAACATAATCCATTTTATGCTGTTTACTTGAATATTAAAGTCAATTTACTTATTATTAAACTTAAAACTAAGAATATTGTCTAAAGCTTTTATTTTTTTTTTTTTTATTTTAAAGCGAGTTTTAGCTATGCAAAACATTCAAATTTTAAAATGCTCACACCTCACTTTAAAATCAAAATATCAATAAAAACCTAAGTCAATAAAATTCCCTAAATAATATTCTTACTTTTAAGTTTTATAATAGGTAAATTGACTCTAATATTAACGCAAATAGCATAAAATTAAAATTAATTCTTCTGAATGTAAAATTGCAATGTTGTATGTTAATAACAAGACAAAAGATAGAGATAACACTTTTCGATACAACATTCTCTTAATGCTTATGAAGTTAGGAGTAATGACTATAATATTATGCGATATATTGAGCTCCTATGTTATATTTTGCTCTACGTGTACTACGGTAGACCGTAGACAGTACTTCATTATATCACTTTTTATCGTATTTTGTAACAATTTTATTACAGGAGACAGTGTTTCATGTTATAGACACAAAAGACCTAGAAACAGCTTTAAAGTACACGTGTGATTATAGGAGATATAAAAATGGATATGGATTATCAACTGTAAATAAACATCCACACTTTTATTCCGATGCCCAAAGAGCTGTTTCTAACTTGTCTGCATTAGTAATAGATGATAAATGCATATTGGTTGTCAATAAAATATCTGGTGAAACTAAGACTCAGAGTGATTATTATATCCAATACGTAGTTGATTTTAAATAAACTTCTATCAATCTACTAATATTATTCGACGCTGTAACATACTTACGTCATATTAATATATAAATATAAATATAAAAAAAACAAATTTAATTATTTTTATTTTTTCGTAAATATACTTGTTAGTTATTTTTATTAGTGTAATAAGTAATAAATTAATAACTAAGAATTAGATTTTAATACTTATTAACATCATGTTGACATTATTTTAAATTATAAAAGTATAAAATTAATAATATAAAATATTATATTATAAAGTACAATTTTAACTACCTTTATACTATATAATAACCTATCTATACTTTAACAAACTATTGTCTTAACATATTTGAACTTATCTCGAAATTATTACAGTAAAAATACTAATTAATAAATAATAATTAGTGAAGATACTAAGTAAAATATTGAATATTGATTAGTAATATCAAATAACTAATAATCATTAATTGTATTGATTGTTCTGATCAATGTCTGTATTAAATTTTAGTTGTATAACAAAAATTAATGTACCAAATTTTATTTTATGAATTTATGTATTCGTGAGTTACAACTACATGCAGTTATTAATTTTACATTGACTTCATTCCTCAAACTTTTTATTTTATTTTATTTGAATTAATTAAGTGCAATTTATTACAATAAATAAGTGTAACAATATTGTTAACTGTATTATACTAATATTTTTATTGATAAATAGTATAAGTTTAAATAAATATATATTAATGTATTTAAATACATTAATTAACATTTATACTATTGTGGTTGTTTTTTTAAAATAACCTCTCATATTTCCTATTGAATGGTGTAGAGTTATAATTTAATTGAAACAATTTAATATACTACTTAGTTAAGTGGTTTTTTTTTTTTATTGCTTTAAACTCTTTAAAGTTTTATTAATAGTTATGTAAAATAAAATAAACAATATCATAATTTATAGTTTATAGTAACCTTATCGATATCAACGACATAATAAATACTTTATATTGTATATGAACCTACATATTTGTACAAAGAATAATTATGTAACATCAGTTATCAAATATCAATTATCATAAATAGTTGCATACCTAGTTCTTGGACAGACAGTGGAATAAGTTACAATTTCAGCTACGATGATTCGTTAAAATTTAAAAGTATATCAAATTTTCAAAATTCACTGATCCGAAATATAAATTTAAATAAAATTCGTTATTTCTATTTTCAATGGAAATATTTGCTCGTCATTCCTTCGCCAACCACAAGTCAGTGCGTGAGATGAACATTGATGGAACGAATAATAACACTAAAAAATCAAGTTCTCACAACTCGTGTATTTCACGGATATAATTTAAAAATAATATTATCTAGGCCATCTCGTAACTCGAACTTTGTACGCTTTTAATGATGTTTAAATTTTAAAGCAAGTTACGAGCATTTTAAAATTATTATAATATTATAGTTATTGTAACATTAATAAAAACGTTCTCTTTTAGATGTATAAGTTAATAACTTACTTTAAAACCTATTAAAATATCAATAAGACTGCGAGCCACATAACGGAACCAGTGAATGTGTAAAGTATGCGGTAACACCCCCTAACCAAAAATAAAGTTCTTTACATATCTTACATATTTATTACGACGATTTTAGATTCTAAGTGGATCAAGTCTTTGTGTATAATATATATGATACAGGTAATAGGCAGCTTGATAATTTGTAGTATTTTAATAATTTTATTTTGTATCTTATGCAACTTAATGTAATACATATGATAGTACAGTACAGGGCCGGATTAAGGTTTTTGCCGCCCATAGGCTGAAATAAATTTACCGCCTAATTTACATAGGTATTGATATTTTACTTCTATAAGTGATACGTAAAAGACCCGCCACACCCCATATAAATCATTAATAAAATATAGATCATCAATAAAAACAATACTTTATGTATACTATTATTAATGAATGAAAACTCCTTAAGCATATTACAAAAAAAAAAATTACAAACAAATAATTATTTTTTAAATTCTTCAGATTATAGTCTTACGTCTTGATTTTTTTTTCGCAAAGTCTTCAATGATAACTGATTAGTTAATTCATGTTCAATACTTAGTAGTTAGTATAGCAAGTGCATTTAATTGATCCTGTTACATCGTAGATCGGAGATAATTTTTTATTCTTTTTAATTCCGTGCCGTTACCGCATCGAATTTTCGCACGGTCGACTATTGTAATATATATATTGTTATTTGTCATATATTTCTGTTACACTCTGTGTAATACCATTTTAAAACTTACACATATATTTTCTTATACTTTATATCTAATAATATTATTTCATATATTATATTATTGCATGTTTTTATATTTTATATTTAAAAATAATATCTCAACGTAGTTTTTGGATCACACCAAAAAAAAAATATGCCGCCCTTTAAAATTTGCCACCCTAGGCTTTAGCTTACTCAGCTTAAGTGGTAATACGGCTCTGGTACAGTATTTATTAAAATATTTTTTTTATTATGGAGGCAAAGTTAAGATTTCCAAAAATATTTGAACTCCTTGAACATGCCGACCGGCTTCGCCTATGTTACATGGGAATATAATATATACTTACCTTTAAATTTAGCAATAAGTCAATTCACTCTAAATTCTTATACTTCGAAAAAAATTCTCAGTGCAAAATGTGTTCTTTTGAACAATGATTTAACCTTACCATCTCGAATAGTAGAGGTCACCAATCAGTTTCTACGGAGCCCATTTTGAAACTTATTAAACGGTCCAAGACACTTAATATTACTGTTTTTTTTAAATTGATAACAAATGTACATTTTATTTATAAAATTTAACTGTGTTTTATAATAATTACACGATTATCAAAATTTGTACAAAATGTATCCGTGATACGCCAGTTATACTCATGTTATATACTATTAATAACAAGGATTAAAATTTGTAGTATTTGCATTTTTTTTTTTTTTCATAGTGCTCATCAAAAACAAAATTCAATTCAAACATCACAAAGTAGGTACAAATATAATACTATTATTATTTTTTTTTTTTTGCAATATTTTGTATTTTCTTATGGTATTTGTGAATAAACACATTTTTGGTACTTTACTCATTTTTTAATTTTTATTTATTATATGCATTTTTGACGTTTTTAGAATATTAATGTTAAAGTAAAATTACTATAGATATATTTCGTGTTTTCGTACCTAGCAAAATGCTATCGCATTTTCGGTAAATACTTTTAAAAAGTAAAAGAACACTATTTACATAAAGCAAATTATATATTTGATTAAGTGTTCTATTAATTTGTTTAATAATCAAGTACTTATAATGTAATAAAAACAGTTTATAATTAACTATTTTACATAGATATTAAATTGTATTTAGGTGTTCCAAGAATACATTTATTTTAATATAAAAAAATATGTCCAATTAAGTTATTTTTCGATATTAAAAATTATTTCCAGCTGAACTTTTACTAGTCAATAGTCATTTTGTAGCAGCATTTTCATGATTAAAATTAATTTTTATGTAACATTATTATTAACTTTTTAGTGCTTTTATTTTAGGTTTTTAGTGTATCATTTTTCTCGTCCTAATGGCTAATTATTTATTATTATTAATATTTGGCAATATTATTGACTAACATTTGATTGACTATTATTAATTATTTATTGTATTCTACAATACACATGCGAAAATGGCGTATTCTCGTATTATATTATAAATTATAAAACATACAAACCACAAAGGATCCAAAAACCGCCAACGTCTTGGGGTTTTCCCCCATCGGAGTCAGTACTCAGTAATCAGTCTAAGACGTGTTTACCATGATTAAATTGAAAATAGATATTTTATTTTTGGCTAAGAGTTCGTGACTGCTGTTGGACAATGTCCACTGTCGATTATTTGTCGGTAATCGCTAATCAGTGTAATTCCACTCCGTTACTATTTAATACTTATTAGTTGCTATGTCTTACCATAATTCCGCCATCCGTCCGTCAACCGTCAGATACCTAACCTAACTAACGAATTTGGGTAACGCTATTCCCAATTTAGCCCCGAATATGGATTTATCAATAATGGATTTTGTGTTAAAACACTTACCAGGCTATTGGGATCCCGTACCTTCATATACAACCAGCAATAAGTTATTCATTATTTCGCAGTCGAGGAACCCTGATGAATGCCAATATATCGAAACGATGTTTTACGGAGCAAACATCAGTCGAATCTTAAGAGTGCAAAATCCATTCACGTATGCCCGTTACATGTTCAGGCGTGAAATGATTCAATCCACTTATGAAGTAAGTAGGTACATACTTGTAATCTTCATATAAAGTTTGGTTTATACTGTGGCACTGTATTATTTGTGTACTGTGGTTAATACAAGGTACCTATTAGGATATTACTAAATTTAGAAGAATAATAGTGTGTAAACATAATATAGTACCTATTGTATTAGGTGCCCATTTAGCATAAGTAGGCGAAACTAGATAAAGGCTGCTTAGCTCTCCTAAATATTTTAGACAATAAGCCACAAAAGTATTTTTTCAATAAGGCACACTTTGATTTGTATTGTACACAAAAAAGCGTCTTGAGAAGTCTTGACTGCTGTGGCGATAATTTTTCAAATTAGATCCAATAATTTTTACTTTAAATTACTAAGCTAATTTTGGTACCTACTTACAAATCCATTATTTACTTAAATAAATATATTATTAAAAGAAAAAACGAATGAAGGGAGGTGTTCTTAGTGAATTGTACTTGATAAATATTAGGTATATAATTATCCATATGAGTATTGATGTAAATTTATGTTTAATATTAAAAATGAATATATATGTTATAGGAAATGTCCTCACAAATTAATTATTAAGGAGAAAATATGAAGAGAAGTATACTAAAATTTGATTCTAGTTTCACATATTATGCTTTAGGTAGTAAGTCATTTAATGTTTGTTAATAGTGTTATTTATCTTAAAAATGTTTGATAAAAACAAACAAATTATGTTCAAATATGTTGAAGTAAAACTGAGTTTGAATAAAAATTTTGTAAAACATTTGTTTGCCCAAATCATTATAATAAAACGCACACTCGAATGTTTTCACCTTTCTATTTATAACATACATAGTGTAAAGGTGTGCATAAGTACATATCAGTTTTTAATTTTTTTTATAGTTGAAATTTAGTTGAAAATTCCTTTTATTATTATGTTCGAGATTAGAAATTAGTGGTTGCAAATAAAACAGGCATTTTAATTTTACTTATTTCCATTCATAGATGTAGATTGTAGATAGCCTATTAACTAGTTATGTTTATTACAGGATACAGTTTTTCACGGAGTTCACAAAGATGATTTGAATATAGCATTGAAATTTAACTGTGATTATAGAAGATATACAAAGAAACGAGATGGAATATATGAAAACTCTCAACATCCCATGTTTTATAAATCATTCTCAGATTTATTAAACAATACTATACATCCTATTGCAGACATAAATGTCTTAGTTTTAAAAATAATGACAGATACACCAAAAACACAGTGTGATTATTATGTTCAATATATTGTTGAATTTTGATTTATTTTTTAATTAAAAAGCAAGATTTTTAATAAATTAAATAGTTAAATATTATTTATTGTTATAATAATTATTTCCCTTTTTTATGTTTTTATAAACATTAAATATAAATACAATAAAATAATTAAGTCAACCTAATTTATTTTAAAATAAAGTTTTCATAGTAGGTATTTTAAATAAAAACATTTTTTAAGTAATGCCTATTGTACTTAATATATTAGGTATGTTTTAGTTTATACATATACATCATAATAATTATTATGTTCAATCATTTAGCATTGGTAAAATAAAATTTATTTTCTGTAAATTTTATTAAATTTAATTATATTTCACTATTCTAAATACTGTTAACTATTTTTTTTTCAGATTTATATGTAATTACATGTTTTTCCTGTGACATGATAAATTAATTTTGTCAAGTAATAAATGTTTCTCATGTGATTTGTTTTTACATATATTTTTTATTTTTTCATTTTTTCTTACATATTTAGTCCATTTTGACAATATAAACTATTATAGTATTATAATATATTTTATCAATTTATTTCTTGACACAATTTTATTGGCTGAAATAACAGATATCTTATCGTAATATCATTGTAACTAATTTTAAAATATAAATGCGATAACAAACACTGCTATGAGCAGTAATACTGTAGTGCATTGTGTGTGTTAGTTCTATGTATATGTGTACCTAGTCTATAGTCTGTAAACTCGATAATTTATTGGCATTTTTAATAATTCGAAGTCGAAAGATGGTTTAATCAACGTAAGGCAATTTTAGGATCAAATCAACAATTCTTTGAATTTAAAAATTTGAAAATTCATGCTATTATAAATTCTAATCAAGATAGGTAATTAATAATTTTTTTTTTAGCTTTCGTTGCTTATACTTAATAGTTTTTAAAAAAAAATTTTTAGTAATTTTATTATTTAAAACATAATTAGTTTCATTAGAAACTCATATGGCTATATTATATAATTTAATATTAATAAATAAATCATATTAGTAAAATACATATTTCGAGTTTTTAACTACATATTCATACATAATATTTGTACATATTTTGGTAGCATACATTCATATAAATCCAAACTCTATAGCTATTACTTATTACACAACTTCCTTTCATTTTCATTTAACTATTTTGTTTTTTCATGTATATGATGTTATTTTAACTTATAATTTTATGACTATAATTATTGTTTTATAATTTTATTTTGTGTTTTATTTGTTAATTTTGTTTAGATACCATAAATATTCATTTTTAGATTTTTCATGGATGTGGTTGGATAAATAAAGTTTAAATAAAATGTTAATCATACATTATCAAGCTTTATGATATAATTGTATTTTTAAAATTCATTTTTTTTTTGTAAAATTAAAAATCAATGAAAATTATATTTTCAAATTAAAAAATAAATTTAATTCAGTAATTAAGAAACTATTAACATTTTCTCAAAATGTCCTCATATAAACATTTCTATGGTCGTTAACCCATAATTAGTCAATACACACACTATAATTAAAATAGCCACTTTTAGATATCTTCTATTATACATAAATCTTCACACCTAGGTATTTTAAAACACTTAACATATATTTTGATCATAAAATGTGATGAGGAATTTATTTTTAAAATTTTTTGCAAGAAAAAATAAAGCTTAAGTTTGATAGCTTGTGATCATATCAATCAATACAAGACTCAATACATTTTATTAAAAGTTTTTTAAAGGCTCCCAAAAGTGTTTACTACTAGTGACCAAAATTTGATGCTAGAGCACATAATCTTATACTGGATATATTAATACCAATTAATTTATTAATTGACAAATTATTTTAAAATTCATAAGTATGTATAAGCAATTTACATCTTATTTACATATAAAAACAAGTGTTTAAATAATTTAATAATATGATAAATTCATTTAAAGGTAATACTTTGGGCTCTGGTAATAATTATCATATGGTTGTTTGTATGGTTCTTCAGGGATCTTTGGTTTTGGAACGAACGGATTTTTTGTTGCGTCCGTGTTTAATCTAAACATAAAAAGTTAGATATACCATAATATTATAATATTTGTATAGTCTTTTTACTGGCTTCTATTAATTAAATTAATAATCGTAAAAATTATGCTTAAATAAATTATTGAATAAAAAAAAAAAATGCTTACTGATAATAATATGTCGCCTTGCTACAGTCTACATTGTACCACCAATCGCAAGTAAATTCCTTTTGATTGAACAAAGTGCCGTTGGAGCACAAAAAAGATGCTCCTTGATGACCTTCACGACCGTCGTGGCAGATATGGTAAGCCTAGAATATATTAAATCAAATTTTAAATCTGAAAAATTAAATAATGAATTATCTAGAAATATTTGTTATTATCATAATAACATATTGTATTATAACCTTTTAGTTTATTTATACAAATAAACCAATGTCTTTAAAATAGTGCTATAATATTTTACCAAAATAAATATTGTTTAAAGCACACTTAAATTTTAAGCTACACACAATTTTAAGGGCTGAACTCCTAACTCCTAAGTTAATAGTTGTACAATAATCTAAACCTAAATATTGTAGTATTATAATTATTGCCATATATAGAATATTACATATGTTATGATAAACGTTTGATGAAAATTTCGAATATATTTGGTTAGCACCGAATTTAGAGGTATGGTAACCTTAACGACAACAAAGGAGTGAAGGTCCCTAATCATTTTTTAATACCTAGGTTAATTATTATTTTTCGAGAATTTCAATAATTTCCAACAAGGAAAAATAATAAAATAAAATATAAGAAATAAATTAAGATAATATGACGTTAACAAATTAAATCTTCTAACATCATTTCTAACACGAAACAGTAAAAATATTCTGTAGTTCGTCGTTTAATAGAATATTCAAATTACATTTTTATTAAATCTGTTCATGTCTATTATCTGGTAAGGATGAAAATATATACTTTATTCAATTTTCAAAGATGTTATAAAATATTTCTGCTTGAACGTTAAATACTAAATATAAAATATACAAAATCAAAATTTTTCATAAAGACATTTATTTTTTATTATTGTTAATAATAAAAAGTAAATGATAATTTATCTAGCTAAAAAATTATATGTAGGTACCTACTACTTCAGCTAAGTTTTTAAATTTATTATGTAAAAAAAAAAAATAATTATTAGTTTAATTTTCTATGCGTGGTTTCTATATAAATAATAATTAATTATTACAAGATTATAAGATACGTATAACTCAGACACTCGACACTAAGTGCATTAGTGAGTAGTGATCAAATGAAACTGTGGTAATAATTATTATAATAAATAATACCTTTGTAATTATAGTTTAGTCATTGCCTTAAATTAATATTTTTTCTTATAGTACATTTATTTATAATATATTAAGTCATTTAAAAAAAATGTTTGTTCATTTTGGTTTAGGGAAAAAAATATGATAATTCAATTATTTCGAGGTTAAATAATTGTGTAATTATACTTTTCTTTTCGGGTACGTAAAATACGTTCTCTTAAATTATTATCGTAACAACAAGGCAATGCATAACGATGAAAAGTTGTACTTCCCATTTCTCTACAAGACTACAGCTGTAACTCAATATGTTATTGCCAAATGTCAATTGCCCAACATGAATAAATGAATACCTATATTATTATTTATTATAATAACATAATGATTTTGCCTAGTGTGAAGCGGTTATCTGTTAGAGACGAGTAAAATGTAATTTTTGTAAACTACATATCAATAACATAATACTCACTACTCGTACAGCTAAAAATATAAATTAAGTGGCATAACATCTTCCTAAAAACGGGTTTTCGACAATTTTGCAATGAAAGACTTTACTTATTCATTATTATTCTATTAAACGTATTTATTTTAATATTATACTACCTTCACTGTAAAGTATTATGTAGTCATCATTCGTTGCACATTACCTTGTTCACTATTAATTATTGCCTATAATATATTTAATTATTTGTTGACTATTGATATAGGTATCTTAATCAACTTATCCAAATAATATAAAAGCAATGCAAAAATGTATCTAAGATTCCATTATATTGTAGAACCTATACATATAAATATAAAAAATATATAAACCTATTTTATATTTTATGCTTTTACAGGTTGGCTCTTTTAATAGTAAATACTTGTTATCTTAAAATGTATTAATTTTTTAGAAATTATTTTTTTTACATAATTTAATGTAATTACAAAAAAATATTTTTTAAACTTTTTTTTTATGAATTTTCATGTTTTAGGGGTACCTATTTGTTCCACTTCACTTCATTCATCTAAACTTTAAATAATTACTATACTACTAATGTCTAATAGTACTACTACTCATTCGAAATTCGATTTTTATATTATAAAAAAATCTTAGTAAAATATTGTACTTTTGAATATGAAGTTAAAAATGCGAGTTGCTAATAAAAAAAAATTAAAAAGTTGATAAGTAATAAATAATAATATTAAAATGTATAACTATTTTTTCAAAACCTATCTTACAAGGACTTCAAATTATGAAAATGATGTAATGAAATATTTCTAAAATCGTTAATACTTTTCGAGAAAATAAACGTTTACCTTTAAAATATAATCAGTGATCGCCTTATACGTCATATAAAAACAGAAAACAGAACAATAAGTTAGATAAGTGGATAGCATAGAGCGTGTTATCTATGGTGATATAGGTAAGCGATAAGTGATAATAGGTACTGCATTTATGACAAATATAATGTATAATATTATCATTTGTAAAATAATTTGTATATGTACCTAATTGATAATTGCTGCAAATTAAATTTCAATAGTATCTCAAACCTATGTATTATAGACTATAGTCACTACTCGTTGATATATTAAATCATGTTTTCCTATTTATTTTATAAACTGTAATTAATAAGTCACTATACCTGGCATCCGGTCTCCACGTTGGCATACATGCCGGGTGCGTACGGTACGTCTTTGCAGTTGAAACTCGTCTGTGGTACCGCGTGGTAAATAGGGTAGTCTATTCCCGGTGTGCCGGGTACTTTGCTCAGATCTTGGTGACTCTCCTCTTTGTGGTTCTGAACGTATCCACCAGAATAGCCGTTATATGCTTGTCTCTGTGCGAAGAATAAAAATCAATTATGGTACATAAAGTATTTAGAAACATATATATTAGTGTAAGCTGCAACACAATATTATTTTTATTCACACGTCGCATAAACAAATTATCTATTCTACGATGCGCGATTAAAACTACAAACGGAGTCTCCTCAGTCATCTTTGGAGTTTTGCGGTGTTATCAGCTAAATCCCATAATTAAAAATGTAGGACAGGTACCTATATTGACGTGCAGAATATCTGTAAAGAGTTAAATTTATCCCATAATATTACCTAGTTGATATGCAAATTATCTATATCTTTAGTATCTTTATCTAAATAATATGAAAGGTAATGTAAACGACTAAGATATTGTAAAAATAATTGACCAACATAAAATCCAACTCCCGATGCGGCTGCCTACTGTAAAAAATATTTTTATTTTTTATTTTTTTCCTAGTTGTTTCAACAATATTGTACATTTAATATTTTTAAATAACAACACGTGTACAATTTAGAATTAGAATAATTATAAAGTACACAAATCGACTTTGATCTTTAAAAGCACCATATTTATAGGTGTCCAAGTGATATAATTATAATAGGTATCTTTCTATAAATAATAAATATGTATAAAACACACGGTGTAGATATATTTGTAACGGAATTTTACCTGTTTTAGAGCTCCGTTAGTAGTGTCATGGCACATTACCACTACGACGGTTACGACAGCGATTATCGTTTTAGAAGACATCTTATTCTCGCACTGTGTTCGATGTGTTCTTTTACTGATGTATACTTACAATATACTGGATAGGTATATTTTGATGATATGATTGTGTACAACTAGAAGTATACGGTAGGTATTTGGATAAAATCGTATTCCGCGGTCGATTATTCGTCGTGACGTTCGTTTGTAATAATATCACACAATACTATTTTTTGCGTTCTCGGCGTGTACTTACGCGAAAAACAGCTAGACACGACTGTGTGCGCGCGTCAAGTTGCGGCAGACCCAGCGGAGAGACGTTAATGTATCATGTAATTATGTGCACCTCCTATAACCTATCCGGCGTTATTCTGCTGCTCTGCAGCAGCGGGAAAGGTCTTGAGACACGCGTACGCGTGATGGAAACATCGATGTCGGCCTCTGCAAATAAAGGCGTATACCTACTCGTAATACGCGATTGTGTGTGTCATGTGACCATGTACGGGTTTTTTTCTCCTTCAGCGATTGTTGTTGCATACTATTTTACATTATACATACCTACCTAATGTATTTAAAAAAAAAAGAATATATATATATATCATGTATCTGGTTTATTGTACGAGTATACACGTAAGCCGAGGGCCGGGATGTCGTGCGTGTGAATCGAGCACTTATAACCAGGTAATAATGTATACAATATACATTATACATATATGTACATATAGTGTTATGTAGACGAAACATAATTTTATATCATATATTATTATATAACGCGTGGCGGGCATATATATTATGTATAAATATTGTAATACATATTAAAATTGTAGGTCTAAAAGCAAAGATAGACTTCTAAGCTATATATATATATGTGCAAACACACATTAGTTATTACCACGATACGTAGTTAAAAAATATACTTACCAAATAATATTATATAACGGGAAATATATATAGTTAAACTAATTGAATAATTGTGGCATACCTAGAATTAACTTAAATTAATAATATCAAATAGGTACTATCAATAGATACTAAAAATCGGATTGAGTGATTCATGTTATTGTATTATTAAGTTACGTAAAAATTATTACGACTTAATTATAAATGTACAACTATAACTATAAATTTAGTAAATAATATTTTATTGTATTAACTGTTAACTTGAAACTATGCGTGTGGTGCTGTAATAGTAAGTAAACATATTATTCATCTAAGATTAAAAGTATAGCTACCCATATGAAGTAATACAACACTGCAGTATGTTGTATGTACGTAAATTTCTTATATAAGGCAAAAGTTATAAGTTTATAAGGTATATGCAGTGGCGCAAATATGGGGGGGCTTGGGGGGACATAGTCCCCCCAAAATTTGTAATAGTCTCTTCCAAAAATGTTCATCACTTTTAAAATTTTTTTGTTCATGAAAAATAGTAAATACTGATTTTTTTATAAAAAAATACGTCTTGGTTTTTTTTTTTTATTGGTTACCATCATTTTCTTCTGTGTCAGTCACAAAAAATGTGAGACTTCAGTCCCCCCAAAAAAATTAAGCTAGTTGCGCCACTGGGCATATGTAATATTTAAACTAAATTAGTAGCCTACATAAATGGTTCATAAAATCAACTCCCCCTCTCCTAAATGAGATTTTTTAATTGAATATCATTTAATATAAGTATAAGCTAGACTGTTTGCGTACCTTAAAAATTATAATCTTTTCAAAATAATAAAATAATCTCAAATTAGTCATATAAACATTTTAAAATTATTTAGGTAGTAATAAATAATAGTTATCTAAGATATTTTCATGATTCCTTAGACTATCTATTTAACTAAAATCTATAGTTGATACATAAACTAGTAGGTACCCATAATACGCTATTATATATTCACAAATACTTATGTCACTGAGTTTAATGACGCTTACGTTGTTGTTATACATAATTTGTAACAATTTATTTTAAGAATCTCGCTTATAATTTTTATACAAATGTAAAAATAGGATATTGTAGTAATATTTCAATATTTAACGTTTGTATAACTAACATAATAACCATAAAATACCACCATGTATATAAACTAAATAACATAGGCTCGTGAGAGTGAGTCCTTTTGGCGGAACATAATTTTTTAGATATTATCCTACAAAACAAGGTCGGAAAACCTCATAGAGAACAATATTATTTATCTTTTACTGAATACAATAGAACATTTTCAGATCGATGTTATCATGTTTATTGTATACGATATGTCGATATAAGTAATATAACTATTAAATAACTCCTTGGAAAATAATTAAGTACCTAGATCTTATAAACATGTAATTCAGATAAAAGAAATGTGTTTCACAGTTTATACCATCGTTGAAACGTTTCAAATATTCAAACAATAATATTGATTATTGTTATTTTTGAATTCGAAAGTTATTCATTTTTTTTTTCAATCTTACCTTGAAATTAAATAAAATCATTAGGTAAAATTGAACGTGTATACGCAATACGCTTAAATGTACATACCAACATGTATAGGCACTTATTTTTTTATTATTATGAAAAACCGTACAAATACGCCATAGTAAATAATATAAAAATAATACATTGTAAGGGAAAACTATCAAGTGAGAGAAGACGTAAAGAAAGAACTCTTCAAGACAGAAATGTATTAATTTTATATTAAAAGTATTTATTGATATATTTTTTTTTTTTAATATTATTAATCTTTGTAATCAATACTTAATATTACAATGATACAAACACATACATAATTATATATAACTTTAAATTGATAATGAATAATGAAATAAAAAAGTTATGAAACAATTTAAACCTATTTTCGTGAATTCACGACGTATGATGATTTCAATCTACGATTTATCATAATATTTATTGCAGTACAGGACTTTTAAAATCAATCAGGAAGAACTAAAATCAAACAACGTAAAAAGGGAATATTTAAACTAAAGAAAGAGACCAGTCTTCGTCAAAATCAATATTTTTGTTTTTAAAGTAATTCAACAACAAAATAATAAATAACCAATTAAGTATTAACCGTTAAGAGATTTATTGATATTTTTACAAAATATTCATATTGATATTTTTAGTATTTCTTAGACATCGTAATATAATTTTCATAGTATTTTAGATTTTTTTTTAACTATTTATCAACATTTGAAAAACCTAATGATATTATGTATACTCTTTAATTAATTTCGATACATTGTTTTTATAATTCAAAAAATATTAATAGCAAAAACTTAAATACTTATTGCTCTACAACTTTAACTATAATTTTTTATACACGCAATGAAATATCATTAGAAAATCATTTTTAGCTAATTATTGGCAAATAAAGTTTTTAAATTGTATTTGTTTTTTCTCTATAAGTCAGTGCCAAAAGCAGACAGACACGATGAACATAAATGTTTCTCGGTGAAGTCTTTGAGTTCAAAGCAACAATCATGTTTTCATTTGTCAATTCTATGGAGCTTGGCGGGTTGTTCGATTCGGAACAATGGCTTGTAAGTAAGCGACAGCGGCTTCACCGTAAAGCACTTTATATCCATCGTGTCTGTCCAATTTTAGAATTGACTGTTGCTTGACCAATCGTTTTATGATCCGAGTCTTCGTACTCAAGAGTAGCACGTGACACCCCTGCTTTGGCTTTTGGCGGCAGAGGAGGTGGGTGTGCTAGACAAGATTTTTTTGACCGGAAATGTTAGTCTTTTGTTGACCTCGTAAACAGTCAGTGTACTTTTAATATGTCTGATGAAAATCTCTCAAGCAACATGTGACATACCGCTGATTTTGGTGAGTTTGATACCAATTTAGCCAATTATTGGAATTCGATAATACAAATAAAACCTTTTTCAATTGATATTTTTTTATCTAAATGTATATACCTTAAGTCCTAAAATACCGAGCATTACTTGTAATGTTACTTTTAATTTTGTTTGTACATACCTCACATATTTTGTATAGATACATCTTTACAAATAATATATTTTTCATCGAGATTTATTTTTATAACCTATTAGGAATATCTATAAAATACGTTTAAATACATAATATTAGGTGTAATCACAATTATACTGGGTGTAAAGGTAAAATGAATACCCTGGAACGGCTGGAACATCAAACAAATATAATTTAGATTTCAAATAATAAAGGCAGTAAAGCTTTCATAAACAGCTGTCAGATATTAAATATAAAGAACTAATATAGGTAATATTGGCTAAATAAATTATTAAAACATGTCTACCTATTTTTATTTTTTTGAATACTTAAAATAATCGTAAATTAGTTATAGCGCTGATAATCTTGTAGGTGCAGATTTGATTAACTTCTTCAAAACATGCACCGGGTTTTAAAATAATAAATATAAACATATTAAAAACAATATATTTGTATGCATCATTGAATATTTTAAATATAATGTATTACGTTAATGATTTTTTTTTTAAAGTTGTATGTATATATAAAATCGTTTCTTTTACAAAATAAAAATAACCTTTCACCTAAATAATGAATAAACAGAAGATATTAAATGATTATTCTATTAATTAAATATACTCTATAGTATATATAGTGTATACATACACGATGCATGTGAATCTCAGATGTCCTTGTCAGCATAAATATATTAGTTGTTACTTAATATAATGTTATCCAATTGGCAATTAATTATCTTAATCAAACGTTTTCGTTGATGTGTTAATGAAATTGTACTATACAAAATTCGTTTAAATGTATCTTTGAAGTTGAACGTTTTTGATTAAATATTTAAAGTAATTTATAACTTGGATATAATTTATTGAATTTTACCGACTCGGCTTTAATTTTACTATAATTTAAACGACCAACGAACAGTGAACATAATAGTATCATCGTATATTATCATAAAGGATTTTTTAATTTTTCAATGTATATTGGTTTTTTATTATAGTTATTTTATTATTTAGGTATCCAGAATAAAATAAGTATCTTAAATTTGAATTAAATAATTTCGCTCAGAATTGTTTTCTTCAAGCCATAATTTATCATTGAATTTAAATTTAACAGACTTTGTCTATAATGATTTACTGAATAACGATAAGTATTCTCGAAACCTTTAACGGCTTTAATCTACTATTATACACCAAAGCATCTTTTTATTACCAACTCAATGAACTAACAATTTTAAATGTAAATAATACACTAAGTACTTTCTAAACTAATTCAAATTAAAAAATAAATAAATAATAAAAAATATTATAAGAAAAATACTTTTCTAGTAGGCGAAAATGTATTTATTTTTTTAGATTTATCTTTAGAATGAAAATATTAATATGTATACAATGTAAAATATATACATACAATACACATGCATAGTAATACATTTAATTAACTGTGACTTTTTATCGCTATGGAAAATTAAAATAAGATGTACAACTTAAATTTAAAATGTTCTAAGAAATAAGTAGTTATGTATAGAATATGTAGTTATTACTACGTTGTGTAGAATAAATACATATTAGGACCTATTCTTGGAAAATTTAAAAAATAACATAATAATCTCTGAGGCCACTGGAAATAATCAGGCCATCATAGAAAGATAAATACCTACGTTGTATAATATATAAAAATATATCCTATATTTCTATTTAATATTTATGTGTATCCACCGTACTGTTCAAATAAGTAGTTAATTAGGATTCGCTGTAATAATTTAGTGGAGAAAAAAGATTAAATCACGTTTTTAAACGCACATTAAAACATCTATTATCATTGTACTCGTGTAATTGATGTGGACTTATTGTTTAAATTTCGGTTTCAATGAGAATTCCGTGACCACGAGGTACGTAGACACGTAGTAATATTATAATACTAATATTTTGATACGCGTAATGGGGTAATCCTCGAAAAGTGAAGGTTAAACGAATTTTAGTAAGCGTTGCCTTCAGTTTTCAGACATCAAACAATATGATCTATGATTTATGCAACCTAAATCTATCAACCAACCTACTGTACGGATATGATTTTAAAACTGTAATCATTATATTTATTACCAATAACCCGTTGCTCTCGTTCTCGTGTGACTATTACTTGAGCTTACTATTAATAGTAGGTACAATATGATCGTGAAACCTTCGGGGTATAGTACAATATTATTATGGTCTATATCCACTTTCACTAAATTTAATATGAGACTACGATAGATATAATACGAAATAAGAATTAAACACTTCACGCTCATATTTTATGTGTTAGGTAATTTTTTCACCACTTGCAGACTATATCTGTATAAATTACGTATATTATTACCCGTTTTCCATAAAAGTTAATGTAATAATATAATGCATCAAATAATAATTGATGATTTTTATTCGGATACTGCAGTTTATATAACTATATCGTCTATATCTATGCTATTTCTATTGTTTTTGTATAACTATTGACTATTAAATTAATAAATTGACCATTATTTATTTTAATCCGTGTACATAATATTATACCTGTAAATTATTTTTGCAAAATTATTGACAATAGTATTCATATATGTACTACGGATTACGGATGCATAATATCTTGTCCGATAATGCCAAGGAAATTTTTGTATAAAATAAACGAACATATTACGAGTATTATTGCATAATATTATTACTTGAACTGAAATTGAATTATTTGAAATATTTGAGGTTTTTATTTCTTTTTCTCTAATCTTTATTAATGTTTAATTAATTTTTATCATAATTTTTTGATAATAAAACATCCGATATTACCTGTTTTAAAGTACATTTCTTCTCACATATCTCGGTAGGTGTCTATTATTCTCGAGCTATGTCCGCTTGCGTACATTTACCCTTTTTTGCGACTCGTTTATGTACAAATGCACAACTCGATTGTGCATACACATTTTTTAACTATTACGTTTAAATGATCCAAACGTAGAACTCGTTTGCGTACATAAACTATAAGAAAAATCTACCAAAACTCAAAAAAACATACAAATAGCGCTGGTAACTCGTGTCTTGTTAACATCACGCGTTCAACTATATAGACCAGTGGTCTTCAACCGGTGGGTCGCGACCCAAAAATGGGTCGCGTAAGCCTTAAAATTGGGTCGTGACAAGTCTTTTTTTTTAATAAAAATTAGATTTATAAAATTATATAAGGTAAAAAAATAATAATAATATTATTATATTATAATCATAATGGATATCAAGTAAAATGTTTCATATTACACTGGTATGATTCTATATAAGCAATTTGTTCTTTTTTATCAGGCTTACGTGGGTCGCGAAAAACATAGGCCTAAAAGAGTGGGTCGCGAGTTCAAAAAGGTTGAAGACCACTGATATAGACAAATACAAATATATGATCACTCAAAACGTAGCTGAATTATCATCAGCAATAATTGTAACTTGATTATACTCGATTTAATTAATACGTGTATCTTATCGAAATGTTTAAGGTAAATCGTATCATTATCTTACATAAGACACGACAAATTACAATATTAGTTGTAATTAGGATTTAGGAATGAAATGCAATAGTTACACGTACAAACAAGCAATAATTTTTCAGATCGAAAATCGTGTAGATATGTATTGCGCGCAAACGAGTATCACCGCTATTCCCAAATATATGTTCCTCTTTCCATATCAATACTTATCGAAATAATCATGATCAAAAAAATTCACTTGGGATTCTAAGATTAGAAAACGAATTTGGAACAGACTTGTTTCATAAAAAATAAACATTTAACTTTATGTGCATCATCAGATATCAGTTAAACAGATTCAATATATGTTTAAATTGTATACATGCAACATTTTTAGAATAATAATCTTTAAGTTTGTAATAATATGATTATTATTTTAAAATTATAATTAGATATTAGTGATATGATCATAGTAAATATCTTATTACTATATTTTATACTTGAACCAATGATGGCGTTGATTTACAATCAATAACGCATCGCATTATATTATTTTTTAAATTACTTTATGTTTTATTTGTAATAATAATTTCTAATCAATCATAATACGAAAAAAAATATAATTGACAAATTTATATATTTAAAAATAAATATTTTTATGATTGTAATAAGTCTTCCACGGTTGCAGCCGATGGTTGGAAATGTGATTGTATTGTTAATCCATTAGCCACGATTGTCATTTCAGCTATCTGATAATAAATATTATAAATATTCGTACGAATATGGTAAGAAAACTATAATTTTTTATATTTATCCCTTAATTAAGTCCGCTTGTATAGATAAAAATATGTCAATATGTTGAAAACTTTAAAATTAAAATTAAATAATATTGTACTAATTGGTCTAATTATTGTTAGTTAGCGATTATTAAAAATTTGAGAAATTGAGAACTGACATTTCCATGTCAATTGTTTTATTTATATTTAAAAATTATTTTCATTTAACTCTAATTGGATATTATTTCATTGTTAATCATAGTTAAATGAATAATATAAACGTCCAATAAAATAACTTACTAGTACACTTGGTGGAGTGGCTAAAATACTGATAACTGCATTAGCAACATCTTCAGTTTTAAGTGCTATTGGGCTATTTAGTTGAACGGTTGAGTTTGGTTCTTTATTAATACATTTATAAATACTTGATAAAAGGTCTGTTGAAACTGCTCCCGGACTTAAGCTCTTAAAATATTAAAATATATTACAAATGTAGTAATTAAAAAGCTTTTTTATTAGTCATGACTCGATTATTAGACTATATTAAATTGTTTGTAATTTTTACATACGGAAACTTTGATTTTTGAGCCAACTAATTGTAGTTCGTGACGAAGTCCCTCGCATAAGATCCTGACTGCGTGTTTTGTAGCATTATACATTTTCATTGAGAAGTGAGGTAGTATACTATGACCAGCAGTACTAAACGAGTATTGGTATAAAAATAAAATGAAATAATAAATAATGATTTGGTAATAATTATCTTTTTAGCTTTCGTATTTAAGTATTCTGTACACGTATAATCACAAGTTATTAATTAATCATAATAATTTATAATTTTTAGCATAAGATATACCTGTTTACTTGAATAATATGACCATCAATTTTATTTCTCGTCATAGATTGAAAAGCTTCCCTTGAACACACATTTAATGCCAAAACATTTAAATTCATCATATATTGCCAATCTTCCAGTTTTCCATCTTATTAAATCAATTAATAATGTAAAATGTATAATAAAAATGAATTAAGTAAATATAAATATATTTTTTCTCACTTAGAAGGCTTGATATTTTTACAGTTCCGGCATTATTGATTAAAATATAAACACCTCCCAATGTAGAATCTACCCAAGAAAATACATTTTTCACAGCTTGTTCGTCTGTCACATCGCAAACTTTTGTATGTACTTTTCCATGATCATTTCCTTTTTCATTTAGCAATTCTGCTAATTCCTTTAATAATTGTTAAAAAAAAAAAAATACTTTTACAAAATGTCTACTATTTTTCAGATATATCAGATATATAGTTGGTAAAACTATAACAAATATTTAAATATTTATGATGTTTCAGTTATCAATACAATGTTAATGTTAAAATAATTTAACTTTGAAATTCTTTTTACACGCTTTTTTATTATAGGATTTTATTCAGAAAAATCAACATTTTTGCAATTCATTTTTAGTCATTAGTCATAATATCATTATCAAAGTCTAGAAATTTACTTATTTTTTTTGGCTTGACTTAAAATCTAGTAGAATTCAATGGAAATTCATGTCAAGTCATTACGATTTAGAATATGAAATTTAAAAGTGCTTGTTTTTTTTGCTTATTTTTTATGTATGTATATTATTTTATTTTCTTCTTTAAAACGACCCAGGTGGTAAACACTGCTAAAACTAATTGATTTTTTTAGTCTCGAAAAAATATAATCAGCACCAGTGGCGTACGCATAATTTGTTTATAGAGGGGACAGGGGTTACCATTTATATACATATATGTGGATAAAAAATGTTTATAAAATTGTATTCTTCTTACATTTAAGGTCATACAGTAAAATTAAATTTTTAAAAATATATATTTTATGGTTTAACAAAGTAACAACACTTTACAGCTTAATATTAATTCGTCTTGATGCTTTTGATAATTCATCAAGTACAGCGTCTGTTGAGATTTCAATATCCCGATGAATATTTAACATTGCTAATTCGTTTAAACGAGATTCTCCGATTGTATTTCGTAGATAGGTTTTGAAACGGCGAAGAGTCAAAAAAGTTCTTTTGGGAGTGGCCGTCGTTACTGGTAAAGTAACAAGAATAATTAAAAGTTTTCGTACGATTGGAAATATTGTTTCATCACATACATATAAAGCCGAATGGGCATTTTTAATATTTTTATTTATTTGGCCTACATACTTCCACCATAATCTAAGTTCTCCGATACATTCTTGTTCACTGCAATTAACAATCTTTTCATAACGATATACCAAATTTACAATGTCAGTCTCGAATTGTTTTTTAAATTTTAAATTATTTATTTTTGATGGCAAAAGACATGGAAAGTTTGATCAAATTTGTTTATGATCTAACAAACGTCTTTGAACTCGAATAATGAAAAAATCTAAAAATGAAATGAATAATGAAACACAAAAAGTATTTACAAATATACAAACCTCTGTTAATTGTAATATTCCATAAAAGAAATCATTAAACATGTTTTACTTTGGGGGGGGGGGGGGTTAAACCCCTAAAATCTCCTATCAGTACACCACTGACAAGCATCGAATATTTTACAATATATTAAGAAAAACGTGAAATTTTTAAAAGGAAATACTATTTTTTATTTTTGGTAATTGAGTGATTTACCCATAGGGATTGCAATTTTTTTATATTACTCTATATTAATCTGGTAATATTAATAAAGCTATGAGGATTTTTTATTCATTATGTTTTGAATATATTATACGTCTTTATTATACTTAATATGATAGTCTTCGTAATATTTTTTATTAATATAAATTGTTCAGAAAATTATTTAAAACTATTAGAAAACAAATATCTTTTTGAAATTGTATTACTATAAATCTAATAATATAAAATAATAAGTAAAGATTAGGTACAGTCGTACAGATACTAAATGCTATAAGCTTTCATTATATTTATTTACGAATATAATTTTTCAACTAAATTTAATGATTAATATTATTTTTTTAACTTAAATTTAATAACCAATTATCAACTATTTATAAAAAAATAAAATATACAGTACTCAATCTAACCTTAGATGGTTAGATGAAATATATATTCGAAGTATCAACAATTTTTGGTATGTATTTAAATGATTATTGATTTATATAAGAGTATACATACCTGATACTTATGTAATATGTTCCGTAAAGTTATAATTATTTATATTTTTATATAAATATAAATAGTATATTTTAATATAATTTGTATTCAAATTATCATAAATGCTCTACTTTATTCTTATTATTAAAAAAAAAAAATTAAGTTTATAAGTATAAATATATAAAGTAATAAACCTTAAGCTTATCTTCTCTTCTAGCAAGCGCTACAACATGAACGCCGTATTCAACCAATTTGACAACGATCGCCTTACCGATCCCAGCACTAGCACCAGTTACTATTGCTACTTTGCCTTTCCACTGTTCCATAGTTAAAACACTTTTAAAGAAATTACATTAAAATACTAAATTAATTATATATTTATATAGACAAACAGTATAAAAACTCAACGACTACAAATATAATACAGTTGAGGTATACCTTTATACGAAACTTCTATATTACGATATATTGGTAGGTCGTAAATAGGTATATCCAGCTATTTTATGTACAGTACGTCGTATTTACAACTAACATAAAAATGTAAAATGTTGGTAGGTATTGTTAATTTATTATTTTTTTTAATGTAATATTATAAGTTTAATCTATTGAAATTAAAATCATCTCTTATGTTGGATTTAGATAATTTCCTACAAGATAAGTACTTAAGTTATATAATTATATGTATAATTGTTTATACCTATATTGTAATGCTAAAGTAGTTAATATTTGTTTAATCTAATCATATATAAACACAATAAATAGATAAAATATTTTTTGAAATTTTTCATTCTTTTAATACAATGGTTCAAGGCTGCCCGCAGAAATTTTTCTCAGGGGGGGGCTAGCAAAAAATAATACACTTACCATAAATTCTGTTTTTTATATTACATCGTAAAAAAAATTATTTATTTATTTTAATATTGCAAGTATATACATACATTTATAAATGTTTAATATTATGTTGTAGTTATAAATAAGCCCAGTGTCGTATTTTTTTTTATTTTTTTTTTTTTTTTTGGGGGGGGGGGGTGGTGGGTGGTGGGACCCCCCCCCCCCAAAAAAAAAAAAAAAAATTCAATAAGTATTTAATTTTGATAAATTTTGTAAGGAATTTGGCAAACAATAATATATGATTTGTGATGAACTAATTTAATATTATATCAAGTCATAAACTAATTCGGAAAGAAAATAAATTTAGTTTCAAATAATGTACTTATTATCCTATTATATTTTTAATTATTTATAGAACTATTATTCTTATAGCACCACTGGTATCGAATATAACAAACAAAATATATAGTAATAATTACTAAATTATTGTGACCGATTATGGTAACAAATGTGTAATAATACTAATAATAATGTATAATAATTTTATATTATTATTATCCTATTACAGTAAACATACAATTTATAATTTTATCTTGCGGCTCCGTGCCTTCTCATGTGTCTGTGTTACTTGTTTTTCCAGCGGAAATTTGTGTATATTTAGATATTAATTACAAGTTTTTTTTTTTTTTTTAATATATAAATATATTGGATCTTAAATATTTATATATATATTTATTTTAAAACATATTATTATTTGCTTTTATTTTTTAATTAAAATTATGTTTACAGTAGGTATTTTATATCTGTATGATTTAAATTACATAAGAATTTCTACTTTTAATTAAATAAATAAAAAATATTTCATTACAATATATTTTGATGAGTTTTTTATGAGCTTAGTGGTAGTAGATTTAAAACAGAGATATATTACAACCAATTAACAAAAAGTTTATACTTAAATTATCTGGACACCCCCCCCAAAAAAAAAAAAAAAAAACATTCAAAATACGCCTCTGAATAAGTCTGTATAATAAAAATGAAAAAAAATAATTAATAATAAATAATTATGACTCATTGATTATTATCGTCAAATAACAATTGAACACACCGTGATATTGAAATCCTACGAACAATTTTGTGTCACCTTATCAGTCATCAGTCCTCCTTATCGCCCTCCAAGACTGCTATATAAAATCCAAATGCAATAAAAATTAGGTAATATCTTAATTAACGGGGGGCGTGGCTCTTCCCCCCCTGCGGGCGGCCTTGCAATGGTTATTATTAAATTTAAATATATTACATTAATTTCTATGATAACCTCACGTTATTATCAATAATATTGAGATACATTCGAAAACTATAAAAAAAAAAGCAGATGCGTTATTTAAAAATTATGAATTCGTAACTATTTTTTGTAAAATACTTTCTTTGACCTGCCAAACGGCAAGAGTTAAAGCGTCAATATGTGTTTTAAATCTAATATTGAGTCAATATTTTGTATTTTCTTTTAGTTTTCAATTATAATTTTGCTATAATTCGTTATTTGATCTAATACCATAAAATTAATGATAGTTACCTATATATTATATTATTACACTCAATAATGTACAAGTTCCCATATGTAACATATTTATTTCTTTTGAAAAACTTAAATCAGTTTAAATCATTCATTATTAAAAATACAATTATTTAAAATAAAAAAGCACACTATCGTTGGATACTTGTTTTAAATTTATGCGGGACAACATATCGGAGACAACGTCGTATCAAAAAGTTTTTTAGTTAGTGATAGATATTAAAGCAATTTTGAAAATGAACTCATATTATTGATAACAATCAAAAGGGTTTACAAAATCACCGATTTTTTTTTTTTTTGTATGAAAGCACTCTCAATAAATGTATTGGTTTTATTTTATAATAATTAGTGGATTAGAGGATTAGGCAGTTGATAATTCAAAATTGAAAAATAGTAACGATTTAAATTTTTCACCAAAAATGTGTATTAATACTTTCTAGATAAAGTAGATAGGTACATTATTTTAAAATACTTAGGCTCTTTATTTTATGATATTTATAAACATTCAACATTTTTTTTTATAAATGATAATTAAAAAAATATTGTTTGGTAAAAAATTTGAAAAATTAATTTAAGATTCCTCAAACGAGGTTATTACTGAAATTAAAAAAAAAAGTAGAGCATAGTTCGACGTATATTTATTTTTATATGTGTTTAAGGTTTAAATATTAATCTAACCTAATTCAAGTTGGGATTCCCAGCATAAATTAAAGATTTTCTTATTTTTTTGCGATTTACAAACGAATGATTATCACAAAAATATGTAAACTATTATAAAAAATACGCTAAAAAATTATTTTTACATGGCACAATTACAATTACGTGACAAGAGCTAAAATTTTTAATCATTAAAACGTGTTATTACGAAATTTATAAATCACAAAAATAAATAGCTTCTCATTAAAATGCCAAACAGAAAAATAAAGTAAAAATTGTTTTTTTAATTATTTATATTTTAAATCTTATCACATATCATATATCATGTTATATACATATTATATTAGCTGATCTTGCTGATCATTGATAAATACATTAAGTATAAATTGCTATAATATATGTATAATGTATATCTATAAGTCTGGATATGATTTAAGAATTTTGGCATCAACAAATGAAAAATTGAAATTCATCTGCAGCATAGGCACCATTGACTATTTAAATTTTTTTCAAAGAAAACTCTAATTTATATTTTATATATAAAAGACCGTCATCCTTGAACATTGAAATACCAAGATTAATTTAAGGTCTCTCACAAACCTTTTATTCCAATTTTTTTATTGAAGCTAACTAATGATTCCAATTAATTATGTATAAAGATTGATTCTAAAAATCAAAAACTAAATTGAATTCACTGTCATAAGGAGTGAGTTTGCAGGATTTGAAACCGATAGTATTTTTAAGGAGTTTAATATAGGAAATTTTCAAACTGCGTATATGATTATTATTAATGACATTATTTGTTAATGCTACCGATGACCTAATAATGTCGAAAAGAACTATGAACATTGATTTGAATTAATTAATGTCTACTTGAAATCATTGAGGTTATATTTAAAGAATTTTAATTTCAATTTTGTGTACTTTACATTTAAAATTTCATATATTTTGAGTGCAGTTTCCTTTAAATTCAATCCATTTTTAAGACACGTACCATATGTTTCCAAATACCAGAACATTTAAATACTTTAAATTATCTTATGAAAATTCAACCCTTATATTATGTTATTTAGAACTTAACTCTTCTTTTGCGTTTTTAATAAACTACAAGATTTTGAATTATTTATAGAGATGTATTAATAACTAAAAGGCTTTCCAGGGCCTCACCAGTTCAATTATAGTGAAAGTTAGGACTGGCTTAAGATTCTTTGATGGAACTCGGGGACTCAAATCTGATACTACAAATTTCTTCATCACGACAGTAAAAAGGCGAAAAAAGTATCGTTTTGATATCGTAAAATTCTATTTAATATAATAAATTACATAATTCCAAGTAAATGGTATAATGAGAATTAAAAGCATAGATGAAACTGTCAAATTAATTATTACTCAAACAGCAGATAAGTAAAAGCAGATATTTTAAACAACAAGTTTAAATTTTCTGTATAAAAGTAATTTTTACTTTTTCAGTCTATCAATATTATTATCAGCCAAACAGAAACAAAATATTGTTTATAAATGTAGATAAATTGTAATATACAAGAGCTATTATCGTTTAAATTTCCGGCACTAAGTAAAATTAGTTCAAAAGCGTTGAAACCTTTTGAGGTGGTATCTTCGGATAGACAATTTTCTTAGCTTTTAAAGTATCTTAGTCAAGTGCAATGCTACTTTCCAGAATAGTGTCAAAAAAAAATTAAAAACGATGTGGTACCTATACCTAATTACTGAAAACAGTCGCCTAGATTCGTCTCGTGAGCCAAATACTTTATGGGTCTGAAACACGATAAACGTATATCAATATTTAGTGATCAGAAATGTTAAAGGCGAATTTCATGGTGTTTACTTGCAGTTAGGAGTGTTAGGACGTTGCATTTTAAAATAATTGACGCCTGACATGTATTGCATACAACCACAGAACAATATACATTATACAACTAAGCATATCCTGCATACCAAGGTTTAAATATAATATTATCTATTCAAGGTTTCTTATCACGAAAATCAAACAACCGTGTTATAGCTTTGGTCATACATACGGTGGTTACTGGTTGCCTAACTTCACACTATCATACACGTAAACACGTTGTTTTTCAAACTACAGAACGAATTAATGTTTAAAAACTTTAAACCCTAAACCTTACCGATTTATGTGTTTTAAATAATGTAATAATTGTATCATATTATAATAGTTTATAACAACTAAGATAAATTTGTATTGTAGTTGATTAGTTAGCAAAGTTATAATCTTACAAAATATATATTTTTTCTTTATGATGTTATTTTATTTTATTCTATAGATACATATACCTATGTTTGAATTAAAGTATAAGTTCAAACTTCTATACTATTATTAATTTGGAGAAAATTTCATTAAAACTATGGAGAAAACAAAACGACCATTAAACGAAGACGAGACGGAAAAACAAGAGTTATCTTTGCCTCAAAAAAAATACTACAGACAAAGAGCACATTCAAATCCTATTGCCGATCACGATTTTGATTAGTAAATATAATTCTATTTTTCAAATAGAAATATAATTATTACAGTAATAATAAATAATGTTTCTTTTTTACAGCCCCAGTTGTCCAGAGGCTTACGATTGGTCAACACTATACCCAGATATAACAAATGAAAAATCCAACATTTATAACAAGCGTGTCGAAATGTTGGACATTGGATGTGGTTATGGTGGTCTCTTAGGTAAGTACCTATCAGTTTGATTAATTTAACCATTCATTCAATTTATGTTAAATAATATTTTAGTTACTTTGTCTCCCATGTTTACGGATTCTTTAATTCTTGGAATGGAGATAAGAGTAAAAGTGTCTCAATATGTAATTGAGAGGATCAAAGCACTTAGGGCCAATCAACCCGATTGTTTTAATAATATAGCATGTATAAGAACAAATGCAATCAAATACTTGCCAAATTTTTTCAAAAAAGGCCAAGTGAGTTATTTAAAATACTTGATTAAAGTGGTACTAAAATATTTTTTTTTAGATAAAAAAGATGTTTTTTCTTTACCCAGACCCCCATTTCAAAAAATCTAAACACAAGTGGAGAATCATCAATGACACTACATTGTCTGAGTACGCTTATGTGTTAGCTGAAGAGGTATGAACTTATCAATAGTTTACTTGAATGGTCTTGTTTAAACTCTTTTTTTTTAGGCACTAGTGTATACAGTTACTGATGTAAAAGATTTGCATGAATGGATGGTTAAGCATTTCTCTGAACATGGTTTATTTAAACGTGTAGAAGATGACTATTTGGTAATTCTATATAAATTAAACTTGTAAGTCGTAAATATATATAACTATTTTATAAACTTTTGTTTGCAGAAAGATGATCCTGTTGTTGATAAGCTATATGAGAGTTCAGAAGAAGGAAAAAAAGTGACAAGAAATAATGGAGACAAGTTTTTAGCAGTTTTTATGAGAATTAAGGATCCAGATTTATAGTGTATAATATCATTTAACAAATATATATTTTTTTAAAGGATAAACAAATTTCTTAATATTTAACTTGCTAGTATAATTTTCTTGAAAATGCAGTTTCAACTGTACATTTGCTGAATAGTAATGTCAAGCCATAGCCATGTGTCTGAGTTTGCTATTGAGATTTATTTTAAACACGAATAAATACATAATCGTGAACACACAAATTTTGTTACGACTACTTTTTTTTATGCAAAGTATATTTGCATTAAAAATTAAAAATTAATTATTTTTTGATCAACCAATAATTGATGTTATAATATAATAGAAAAAAAGATATGAGTTATTAATTTAAGATAAATTTTAAATACAAGAAAATTTTCAAAATATTTTGACTCTGTCATTTATAATCATTTAAAATTTTCTATTATTTCAGTTTTATTTTCATAAATATAAATAATAGAAAATTATTTAGCTCGAAAGTTTGATATAAGATCCAACATAAGTTGTTTTTTTACTTAAAATGTATAAATATAATTTATTTTAGCTAACATTTGTATTTAAATTTTATCAAAATCATGAAATTATTTTGAAGTTTAAAGTTTATATACTACAATTTTTTATGCTTAGATATGAACATTTATTTTAAAATTCATCATAAGTAATTCATACTGATACTATCATTGATTTGAAAAGTTTTTCTTATATCAGCATAAAAATTTTAAAAATTCAAACAAAATTTTTTTTTATGTGTTTGAAGTTTTGACAAAAAATGCATATTTAAATAATAAATAACAAATTAATTATTTGTGATAGTTCTAAAACATTATTTGTGAGGATATAAGGTTTTTATGTTCATTATGTTTTAGAATCACAATTTAAATGCAATAATTTTTTCAACAATTAATTTAACATACTATGTATGTCACTAACAGTAAAATAAATAAATTTAATAGCAATATCACAAACCACTCGTCACTTATTGTACAGCAGAGCAGTACCTACTTGTCCATATTTTTCTCATTGAAAATAATATAGATAATTTTGATTTATTAATTATAAGACTTATTAGTGCTTTTATATACAAAACTATAAACAGAAGTTTGGGCATTACTGTAATATAGATGAATAAGAAACAATAATATAAAAATTAAAATAAAGAAGGAGAAGAGCTAAGGGTTGAATGCACATGTGTTGTATTTTTATTCCTTATTTTCTTAATTCCTACTACTGTTTAAAGTATTGTTCATTTAAGTACGATAAAAAAAAAAAAAACAAAAAACAAAAAGAGTTCAATAAATGATAATACTACCTATCTACCCGTGTAATTTTAATAGCATTTCATTGTAATGATATTGAGATATTCAATACATTATTAAAGTGTATTAAATAAATATAAACAATGATACAGAATAGAATAAATCACTAACAAGATGGCTGATGAAGATTAATAGTTTCATTTTGAAGAAATAATTATGACTTATACTCACAAGTATGTTTTCTAAGCAATTAATGCAAATAAGGAGAAAGAATAAAGATTATTATTTTATTTTATTTATTAAGAATGAATTTAAATTAATAAAAAGAACTTATAAGAGAAAAGAAACTTTATGGAAATAAATGTAAAAGTACAATTGGTCCTCGTAAATATAAGTAATCTTTATTCTTCACATAAATGTGATTATTTTAAAATAACCTGCATGACATCAATATGGAAAGAAAGTCAGACTGACAAAGAGATTAATGGATTTTTTTTTAGTTTGTGGAGCATTTCTATAGGAAAGTAAAAACCATGTACTATTTTTATTATTATTATGTGATCAATCAACTGCTAATAGAAAATTTAGTAAATATTTAATTATTTGTTTATTAAATCTTATTAGTAATATGTTAGCTATTCTGTTTATATACTTTTTAAATATTACCAATTGATTATATTATACTACATAGCATCAAACAAAATTCTATATTTTATAAATTAGCATACCACATTGAAACACAAATGCATACTTAACTTAAAGTACTAATATGTAAAAAGTACCACTAGCATTCCCTTTTATTTGTTTAAAATTTAAACAATACCATCTTCATACATTATACATTTTTATTAAATCATCCTTATAAAAATGATAATTTCAAAGAATAACAAAAATAATTCAATAAGTGTATGATTAAAATAAATTTGTATTATAGCATCAAATATGAAACATATTGATTCAATTAATCAATAGACATATTAATGAATTGTAATTAATATAACTAATTTATTTATACAATCATCACAAACTTATTGTCTTGCAAAATATTATATATGTATAAGGTAAAAAATACTTGCCTATTTATTGATAAATAATAATATAAATATAGCTATAATAGTACCTATTTTAACTCAAATGTCACAACATAAAAAAAATTCTAAGTTTATATTTACAGTGAACTAAATTAAATGTAAATTATTGCTTGTACTTTAATATGTTTAATTATATTGAAACTGTAATTCAAGATTCTTAATATCAATTTTAAACTCTAGGTTGTTATGAGATCAAAAAAACAACTGAATATAAATAATAATATATAATCTAATTTTAAATGTACAATAAGGAAGTTTGTTAAAGAAAATTTAATTAAAAAAAGCTAAAATTGAATAGCATTTTACCACATTAAAAAAAAAAAATGAATATCTAAAAATGAATCTAAAATATTTATACTAAAAAAGAAAATAATATGTTAAGCTAGAAATATTTAATTTGTGCTGTCTGACATGACATTTAAAAAAATGTCTAAATTACCAAAATACTGAATGATAAAAAATATAAGTTTAAACATGATATAATCAGTGCTTGCTTTAGAAATTTCCAATGAAACCAAACACACAATTTATTTACATAACCTAAATAAGGATCTTTAAGTAATTATTTGCAATATTTTCTGTGTAGATTTTCTGTATTTTTTTTTTTTTTTTTTTAATTTAAGTTCTAAAAAATAACAATATACTTAGCCAATAATGGCTTTGTTCTGGTTGTTATATCATTTACAGAATAATAAAATTAAAATATTTAAACAAACATAAAAAAAATTATTTTTGAATTAAGTAGATATTAGTTACAATAGTCTTTATTCTTTATTCAATATGTTATACAACGCACTTACTATAACAAATAAGTGTATTAAACTTAACTGTCTCAAATATTATTCTAAAACTTTAATATGACAAATGATAAATTTAAATATTTTCAAATTGACTTATTTATCATTTAATGAATAAAATAAGAAGTGCCATGTCTTAAAGAGTATAATAATTGTATTCTATAAATTATTTATTTTAACTTTTGATTAATATTATGTAACTTTTATGCTCATTAAGGTTTAATTGTCTGATATAATTACTATTTCAATAAAGTTAACTCTTTTTTCAAAATTATTATACAAAATTAAAGAACATATTATTATTGCACAATCACCAAGAAACATTAGAAACCACAATTCATATGCTTTTAAGACACTGTTAAAACATAAAAACGTATAATTTGTGAACAAGTAAATTTAGAGTGTGAGTGTACAATTATTTTATTTAAAAACTATTAAATGTTTAATTAAGTTTAAGATACTTGATTATTCGATAAATTATTGTAATTTAGATATGGAACTATCAATTTGTTTAAAAATATATATATTTAAATAAAACAACCTTTTATGTAATGATGTTAACTTTGATTGTATTAATTAAATAATTTCATATTTCATCACATTTGACTTTATCTACTGTATAATATATCATAATGGCCAGGCCTATAGAGAAGATGAACACAGACTGGAGATCCTTCAGGAAAATCATGAGCAATAGCTTCAGACGATTCACCTCTATCCATGTATCTTACTCGAACTCCAACATTTAATGCTGTACTCAATGCTATAATATGAATATGATCACTTTCTTTGAACATCGGTTCTACTTCCTGAATAATATAATAAATTATAATATAGTTGGTTTAAATTATTACTCAAGATACAATAGTGCTTGATTTAAAAAAAAAAATAGAACAGATTACTAATTTTTTTTGAAAATACTTCAACATAAACCTTATAGTTTTATTTAAAGTAGAATACTAAAAATTGGACAATTAGAACTTGTGTTTCGTTCTTATTATTACTTATCACTAGACGTTGGAATAATATTCTTTTGCAAATTTTTTTTGAGTCTATGCAGTCAAATTTCAGTTTAAAATCTATAAAAAATATGAATCGTATAATTCATAGCAAAAGTTATTTTTACATATTTAAGAATATTTTAAGATAAAAGAATATTTCATATAAAAAAGAATATTAAAGAATACATTGATTAATTTTATGTTGTAGGGATGAAAATTATAAATAAATAATAATATTTAATAAGTTTTTAGTCTGTTATTATTGAGATAACTATAAATGGAATAACAATATGGAGTAAGTTAAAAAATCTTAATTTTAAATTTTTTTAAAACTAAATTATAAGGTATTGATGATTTAAATAAATAAAAAATAAAAATATTTCAGTAAACATATAGAATTATATCATAATTAATGACCTTTATGTATCAATTAGATTATATATTTTTTAGGACAATATTAACATTTTATTTTGGCTATTTTAAGAAAATATTATTCCGGTCTCTACTTATCACACAATAAATTAAAAATATTTATTTAAAAATGTAGATATTTTTTTTTCTAATTCAAGCAAAGAAGAAAGTTATAACTTATAACATAATTTTACCTGGTGACAAAACTCTACAACAGTCCGATCCCCCTCAATAAAATGTTTATAAAACTCAGCATCTTTTTGCAATTGCCCTGAGGTTATTAAACGAAGATACACCACCACATAGTCTGAGTAACCTTGCATATTGAAAGTATCGTATAATTTTTCATGTTGACCTTCACCAATTAAATTGACCACTTCCATAAACTAAGATTAAAAAAAAAAATTTTAGTTAAGATTGATATCTAACAAAAAAAAAGTGAATACAAATTTACTGTATCATGAAAATCTTCTAATGTGAATTGAGTAAAACCACAAGAGATCAATTCATCTTTACTTTTTAGTGCACGTTCTTTAAAATGCTTATATTCTTCATTATGATCTATCAAATATTCAAAATATGCAAAAGCAAATGATCTAAAGAAGCAGTTACCATCTGGCCTTGCACGTCTCATACATTTGTACTTTTTATTTAAATCTTGAATTTTAGTTAAGTATACGGGATCATTTATGTATTCAGTTTCAAGTGATGTTAATTCTTCTTTTTCACCAATCAACAATATAGAATCAGAAATCTATAATTAAAATTGTAAAATTAATACATATTTTATAATAATAACATACAAAAGATAACAATTTATCGACCTCTTTTTCAATTTCTCGGTGTTGTTGAATTATTAATTCATCTTGTTCCAGACCTTAAAATATAAAAACAAACATAAAATATACAAACTCATATTTTTTAATACAGGACAAAAAGTTTGAAAATATTAAAAAAAAGTGGGCTTTGCTGAATAGTAAGTGTAGAGTGTAATATTATGATGAATGTGTTAAATTTGAATTTAACTATGAACTACTTATGAAAAACTTAATAGTAAATGTTCATACTTCAGCTATAAAAATTGCACATTCTATACATTTTTAAGATATTAACAAAATTTGATTTTTAAATGCTTACATATTTTAATTTAATTTACATGTAAAAATAACTTTTTTAGGATCTTGAATTAAATTTTTAAGTTTTTTGATTAATCAAAAATATTTTTATCCATATTTAAAGAACTAAAAAAAAATATTAAAATGTTATCATGTTTAAAAAATGATTATATACACATAAATTTTAAGTATCTATAATTTTTTGTTTTTTAATTACACCAAAATATGAATGTCATGACATTTAAACATCAAATGATCATAAAAATAACATCGTAATCAATTTTTAAATTATAGACATAAAAGTAAGATTTTAAGAATTTTGTTAATATTTTAAATTAAAATACTTAAAAAATACATTTTTTCCGAGAGATTTTTGATATCTCTTAATTGGTAAATTAATGACTTATGAGAACACTAGAATGCAAATTTTAAACATTTTTATTCTGCCAATAATCATTTATCAAGATTCTTAAAAAAACAGAAAATTTTGGTTGTCTATAAATAGTTTAATAAAAATAAAAATATTTAAAAAATTATATTATGCATAGAAAATGATCATATAAACATAAAGTACAAATTTTAAGTATCTACATGGCAATTTGTTTTCAAGTTACACCACTTTCTTAAGCCAGCAAAGCTAACTTTATATTATATTTAAATCACTTAGTTATCATGTCATATTTAGTATCGATTGTAAATAAAGCTTTTTCAATAAAAAAGTTATACCAATAAAATCAAATCAAGGTTAGGTTAGGTATGATTTTTGAAATTGCTGTAGAATTAATTTCTTAAAAGGACGTCATACTCATATGTGTTGTCTTATTAATGCATAAAATACCAAAACTTACATTTGGTAGTTCCAATTTTGTGTTTTTACTTTTTAGATTAAATATTAGAATACTTGGCCTAATATCCAACTTAAAGGTAAAAACATCAAGACTTAAATTTTAATATTTTAAATACTCATAACTAGCTTAATAATTAAAATATCATAAAAATTTAATGAGAGAATATAGATAATATTCTTACTTTAAGTTTAATAATAGATAAATTTATTCAAATATTCAAATTAACAGCATATAATTGGAACTGCTAAATGAAAATTTGCTATGTAACCCATGTGTAAGACAGAGACAACATAGCAAATATAAGGGGTATGACATTCTTAACAATCTTTTATTTTACTTTTTATACAACAGTTAAAAGTTTTATAAGAAAAAGCCAATAGTTTTTACTTGAATATCAGAATTATTTTTCTTAAAAAAAATATATTCATATATACCTATTAAATGAGGATCAATTGAAAATTATAAACAGAAGTTAAGAAGTATAACTACATTTTTTAAGAGGGGGCAGGAATATTGTAGCTTCTAGGAATATAATGTTTAAATTTATGTACTGTAAAGCAACAAGCCAACAATATACAATATAATATAATATTAATAACAAATAAATATTATTAAGAAAACATCATAAACACATGTATTGTATGTTAGTTAGATAGCAAATTTGTGTTCAGTAAAATTCATTTTATACTGTTATGTTTAATATTAGTCAATTTACCTATCATAAAACTTCAAGTAAGTATATTGTTTAGGGCATTATGAAGGATTTTATTGATATATTAAATTTTTAAGTGGGTTATTTATCATATTTTATTTTTTTTAATGATTTATTATTTAAACGACTCAAAGGTCTTAGTAAATATATTGAACAATTATTGTATATATTTTACATACAAGATATAAATTATATATACCAGGGGTGGGCAACTGGCGGCCCGCGAGCCTTTTTTATCTGGCCTGCGCTACATTTTCAAATTGCATTAGTATAGGTATACAATTTTAACCTATGTCCTATTTCATTATTAACAAAATAAATGCTATTCAAAATATATATTTTGAATGACCTTTTTTTTTTTTGCTTTCTATGTTCTGGCCCGCTATATTTTAAATTTCTAAAAATTGGCCCTATAGTAACTTTGAGTTACCCATCCCTGATATATACTATATGTTGATGAAATCGCTTCCAATAAAGTGGCTTCTTCCTTAACCTAAAATCTTAAACTAAGTCATGTGGTCATAGATGCTTGAGACGTCTGATATCTTTGGAGTTGTCTAATAATTTGATGGCCAATGCATTGATATAGTGATCTAGCTTTGTTTCGTATTTGCGAGCAAACCTTTGGATTTCATCTGCTATTATAGGCAGCATCATATCACGATGAATTGCATTATTTCTTTCAAACTGCTGCAGTGATGGTCCAAAAGGTGATGTCTTGTAAGCGTTATATTACATCGATGTTAAACTTACTGGCACAATTCCATAGTTGAATACCGTAAATCCAGATCGGTTTTATAATAGCAACATACAGTAGACAGTAGACGTTTGTTTATTATAATTAATTCAGAATGGGGTCCAATTAACCAATAAAGTTTTTGCATTTAAAATGGGTTATGAACGCTTAAAAATCTTAATACTTTACATAACTATAATTTACTTTAAAATAAAAATATTAATAAAAGCCCATGTAATATCCCAGATAATACTCTTACCTTTAAGAGGACACTTCACCTGTATGTGTTGTTTCCATTTTACATGCATATAACATAGTAAAAATGCAACATAATTTTTATTTTTTCAATATTAGAATTAAAATAAAGTTATTTAAGTTTAAAAAACATAAGAATAGTGAAATTTGAAACAATAAGAAATTCTTTTGTATTAATAATATCAAGAAATTGAAATTAATGTTGCACAGTCTAAAATATTTTTTTTTTTTTTAGTGTGAAAATTTGGTTGCTTGTTTGCATGAAACAGTTTTTGCTATTTTGTATGTTTGTAAGATGGATACAACATATATGGATGAAGCATCCACTTAAGTTTGATAGTAAGTAATTAAATAATTAATACCAATGCTAACAACATAAAATGAATTCGGGTGAACACAAAATAGCTATGATGTAAATTATTAAAGCGGAGACAACACATAATATGAATACAATATCTGCTAAACAACTAATTATTTTCCTTTTAACTATAAATAGATATTTTAAAAGACTTAGGTAGATGTTTGATAATATGATAAAGAAAATTTTTATTAATAAGCCTTAAATTTTTCGATAAAAGACACAGTTGCCTTAGTCCTTGATGGTAGGATGTTATCATAGATCACAACCATCAATAAATATTGAACATAACTTTTGAGACAAAAAGGATTACAATAATAAAAAAATTAATTACCTTCTAAGTTTTAATTTAATTAAACTATAATTTATAATAGAAAAAATAAAAAATACATGAAATGAGAATACTTTAAATTAAATAGTATTTAAATAAATAATAGTAATTTTTTAAGTCATTTCAAAAGTTAATCTATTAATTTATTATATTAATTACATAAAACCTAATCAACATTAACATAATAGCATAATACTACATTAATGCACATGAAGATCTAAATATTTCTTTATCATAATTAACAATTTTAAGTAGTCAATACTCTTAAAATATTAAGACTCAACAATTCTACAACTTAATACATTTTACTTTACCTTCTGATTTAGCTGCAGTTGTTTCATGGTTATTATCCATATTATAAAAAACCTATAACAAATAAAATACACATGTAGAAACAAATCATTCAAATATTTATTAGGCACTCATATTGAATGTTAACTTTATAATTTCGACAATAATAGTACTGGAAGAATTTTAAATTATAGGGCAACATGTAAATGTTACCTACCAAGAAATTAAAAAGTAGTGATTAATAATATATTATTTTAAATTATGATTTGTAATCAACATAATCTATAAGAAATATTTGGATTTTTGAAGACACATTATTTTTTCTTATTTAACTATTCAAACAAAAAAACATAGAATTAGTAAGATCACAGATATATTAAAAACGAATTGTATATTGAATAAGTGGTATATGTTAGTCAAAATTTTGCATTATTTGGAACAATAAACATATTATACATTTATACCTATTTTTAAAATGTAATATTAATGAACTCACTTTTTAAATTGAATGTATTGAATGATTGTAACAAACAATTATTAAATATTATTAATATTAATAACCAATCAATAACTAAACTATAATAATGTTAAGTTTAATTTGAACTTAACTTTGGACTAAATAGAAGAATAGTAAATACCTACTAAACCTATTAGCTTAATGCTTGGATTTATTTTTACAAATAAATAATATAATGAAATGTAATGATTACTAATTAGTAATTAGCAATTAATATTTAATATTTAATAGTAAGAAGCTAAGAAACTAAAAAGTAAAAAGAGACAGATCAGCTTATCAATGTTCCTTTTTTTTTCAAGCTATCGTCAAAGATAGCCACAGTGTTACCAAAGCAAAGAACCTCTGACAGATAAGATTATTGTTATTTTGTTACATCGTAGAAAATATGTAGAAATGGATTCCTAAAAAGCTACACAAAAATTAATTTTTAATTTTTATGTAAAATTTAAAAATAGTAATTACCATAATACCAACGATCAAGCAATCATATAATACCCATAGATATATAAAACATTTAAACATATCTGAATTCTGAGGTAATACCTAACAGATAATGCATTTCAAGAATTCGAGATAATATTGTTCAAATATACATACAACATGCCTGTAGTCTGTATAGTAAACGGTAAAGTTACATTATAATAACATTAATAACATTCATTAAATATTTTAAAGAAAATTACCTTAATATTGTAACTTATCTTATCGATAAAATAACTAACTATTATTATTTATCATCTCAGAATAAATGAAATTAAATGGATCTCATCCATTCTGTCATTTTGTGGTATTACTGAATATTGACTATAGTGACTACTGTACAAAATAAAAATAAAAATGTTTAATAATATTACACATTTTGAGCGAATGTTCAATAGATTATTCTTAAAATATACATAAACATAAGCTTTAGGTGTTGTTTTTTTTTAATGAATTTCAAAACTACGATCTATGAGTTTAAAATATATTTTGGCACTAGATTTATATCTACCTACTCATAATTTCTCATCGTTTAGCTGCATCGTTGTGCTGGTATAAATGGTATAATGGTATTTTATATACACCATTAATTCTATATTTTTTACATATTACTTATAAGTTAACAGTCGAGAAATATATACCTATCTACCGACATACAGCTATTGCGTGTTCGGTGTTGGGTTTAGTGCCGTTAAACATGTGATGGTGCTATTTATATACCTATTTGGCTATATTTATATACATATATTCCATACCTATTTTACGGATTAAATCGTTTTACACACAACTAAATATTTCGATTCTGAAATCCATAATTTCCTTCATTTTGTTATGGCGTTGTGGTTTATTTGAAATAATTTTATAATTTTATAAAATAGTCGGCAATTCAAAATTATATAAAAAAATTATTGAACTAAGTTTAGTTGTTGATTTATTTTTTTAGATGAATACCTTTCAGTTTTTCAGTTTGTATTTAATAAATTAAATAAGTTAAAATTCAATAATTACCAATATCAATATAATTATTAAATAAATCAATATAACCCCTCTACAATGAATAGTCATTAATCATTTATTTCTATGATTAAATATTTTTTATTTTATCTATTTATAGATATTTGGTAGGATTACGTATAGCTCACTTAAATAACTCAAAATCCTAAATATTTTAAAAATCCCATTTTTTTTATTTCATTATTTATTTCACTACGATGACCATCTAATAATTACTTGATTTTCAAAATCCTATTTCAAATTCTATACCTACTCACTTTCGTTGGTCATCACTCGTCATCGTGTTATTTAATTAAATTAGTACATACATTTTTTTTTTTTTTGCTAAAAAAAACTTCGTAGAATTTACGATAAAAATGACGCAGAAAAAGCTTCAGTAATAAATATTGCAGAATATGTGTTTTGTAATATGCGTTATATTTTTTAAATTAGTTAAATTATTTAGAAATCTTGTATAGAATTATATACTAGAGCATGGAGAAACCGAATTAATATTTTTAGAGGGCCACTTTTTAAGGATTCGATAATTAAGGAATTCAGTTTAGAATTTTTCGGGGACCATGAAAATGTAATGTACATACTAAATGTTTATCCAAAAGAAAGTAAAGGTAAAATCAAAAAAATTAATTAAAATAAATAAAAACATCATTTTATTCATCGTAAAAAAAATAATTTAAATAATTATTTTTATGTTTGCGGGATATTTGGCGATCCCTATTCTCTGATATGTGCTATAATTGTTAAAATATTTAGTATGCTTCTTTTCCTACCTAAATATTTTATAAATATTATTTGTTGATTTGTATATATTTTTATTTTGTTTTTTTCTCTAATCGGCTTTTGATTATAAATGTCCATTTAGGGGAACGGAAATAGACCATTAACCTTGAAATTTAATTATTTTTTGTGTGTCGTTTTTCACCGATTATTGGCCAGAACAAATTGACAAGAGTAAAACTATTAAAACTGCTTATAAACTAATATACTATATTTAACATTATACCATATCGGTAAACAATTGCAACAATTTCGATACCGGAAGTCAATTGACTTTATTTCAACATAACCAACTCAAAATAATGAATGCATCATCACAAATATTCTCGATATAGATCAGAATCGTAATCTGCACGGTTTATTTTATTTACGAATATAACTTGCGAGTTGTAATTTTTGATAAGTGCAGTGCAGTGAAGTGTCGTCGCGGGAAAACGTTGAGAACCAATGACTGGGGTCGCCGCACACCCTCCGTTGGCAGCATTGGTCTGTATGTTCACTGCAGATGTGACAAATGGCAACTACGGTCTACGACTTTTTTCATTATTATTATTATTATTATTATTATTATTATTATATACTATTTTGTCATGTTTGAACGCTACACAGAGGCAAATTCCCGTCTTGTCCAGTCCGACCGATTTCGTTTACCCGTTACTTGCGCGCGCGATCGTTGGCAAGTTTTAACCGGGAATGGTATTAACCATATAGTGCATCTTCACAATTAAATTAATAACACATTACATAATAAAGAAATAGTCTTTTTTTAAATTCGTAAACAAATCAAATGTTCTGAAAATAATAGACCGCAAATTCTGATCGATTGACGTTTCCGAGATCTGCAGGATTATCAGCTTCGTTTGTCCATATTACTATACATGTATAATAATATATTGAATATTATAATATCAATGTTATAGTTGCGTGTGGCAGTATCGTTGTTATTGTTGTCGGGGCGTGTGTGTGTGTATGTGTGTGTGTGCGCGCGCGTTCAGCAGTGCGATGGCGTTTAGATGAGGGGTCCACTAACGCCGTTTAGTTTACCGGCAATGAATTTGGAAGACGGGTCGTACGCCGGCGGGAAGCCGGGCCAACAGCAACAGCAGCCAGGCGGCGGTTTCGGGCAGAAGGGCGACAACGGCGATGGTGGTGGTGTCAACAACAAGGTGAAGTACACGATGCCCGGCGTGTTGCACTTCATACAACACGAGTGGTCTAACTTCGAGCTGGAGCGATCCCACTGGGAGATCGACAGGGCTGAGTTGCAGGTGAGAACTCGTTGTTCGGGATTAGGACTTGTTACAGCTTTTCAGGTTTCAACTTCCTCGCTTTTGAACGTCTTGAAATTTCGATCTTGATTGTTATGTGAACTGTCGATTACCTATGCAGACCGTCTAATTTTGCGTATTAGTTTTAATGAGGTAGATTGTACTATGTTCCTGGCTATTGTTCTAATATCATATTCTATAGTTTTTCTGATTTTTGTAATATATCTAGTATCTACCTACTCTAACTCTTAGTATTAGATTTATTTAAACTAAAATACTGATCTATGGTTTTATATTCACTTTAAATTGTCTTCTTAGTTGATACTTTTTCTTATGACTTGTATCTAGTTGGTATTTAATGGATAAGTAGGTTTTTTATAATTAGAAATATACCTAATCAAAGTTTGTTGTTTATGCATTAATGATAGACTTTTATATTTTATTCTTTAATTTACCTAAGTATGGCATCTATAAATATATCAAATAATCAAGCATTTTTTTTTTTTTTTTAATTGCCTAGATTTATTAGATCTTAATATCATTATTGGTTGTAAATTGAATATTTGAAACAAACCTTCTTTTAAAAAAATTTATCAGTATGAATTAATATTTTGATTTCAATTAATGGAATTCAAAAAATAAAAATGTAGTTAATTTTTATCACTTGGTACCAATAATGTCTAATGTATTACTGTGGTTTAAATTATGATACACCAAGGTATATCTAATTATAATGTCCACGATAAATAACTTGTGTTAGCTATCTTGGTAGTTTAGTCAAAGAAAATTAACTTATATAAAACAAGCTAATATTTATCTTATCAATTTAAATATTGAATTGTTATGTCTCAATAGTTTATTACAATATTTAATCTTGAAAAGACAAGGTACCTTATTTATTTAAGAATATTAATTTTAAATATTCTTTTAAAATACTGTAACTACTTATTCTATATTTTTTAAATTTTTTTATTTTAGCAATACTTGATGTGATTTAAATAAATGTTTATATGTATAAACCTTAGACCAACCTTGCCTATATAACTAAAATTACAAATTATAAACTGAGATAGGGCACTATAGTAGCTGTCATAAACATCCTTTACCTATGTACAAATAATAAAACCAGAAATATTTTTTCATGCATAAAGTAATTTACAAGTGGCCTTTATCTTAAATAACATTTGTATCCTTGAGGCCGGTTCATTAGTAAAAAATGTAAGGTCCATAAATTAAATTACAATATAAGAAAAATTGTATTAGAAATAATATAGTTTATTTATAATAAAAATTAGACATTTTATTTCATTACAAAAAAGCTAGTTACAATTAAACTATTTTAAAATCTTTAATAACTTGATTGTGTTCTAAGCTGAAAAATTATGTTTCTATAAAATATTATTGATTTATTAAAACTTTGAATAATATTTACTATAACTTTTTTTATATATTTCTAATTTTTTAATTTATTTGTTTTATTAGGCAAGAATTGCATTTCTTCAGGGTGAGAGAAAAGGTCAAGATAATTTGAAAAATGATTTAATTCGTCGAATTCAAATGTTAGAACATGCACTGCGAGCTGAAAGGTATTACTAACATATTTTTAATAAAACTATTACAGTCTGTAACAAGTGTTTTTTTTTTTTTTATAAAAAAATAATTAAGCTGACTATATTTTTAAAAACTATAAAGTAAAGAGGGGGCTGGATAGTATGACCTGAGCTCCAAATTTTAAGAATAGTTAAAATTAATAATATACTTAATGGTCAAAATATAATGGTTTTTGGTAGTTATGTAAATATTTTTTGATGAGACAACTTATTGATTTTTGTATGTATCTACTTTTTCCGCGAATTGGTTACTTAAATGGTTATATTAAATTTGAATTCAATGATAAATTATTGTAAACCCATATAGAATGATCTATATAAAGACTGTTGT